CTATTTTCAGGAAACAATTAATCCGGGAGCCACAATGGACCGAAATCATGATCAAAACAACATCGAAGCCGAAATCCGTAGAAACGAGGAAAGGATAGCGTCTTTGGAGAAAGATTTAAAAGAAAGTTTGGGCAGCAATAAAGATCTTAAAGATAGGATCAGCGCTTTAGAAAAGGAAATACAAGACCTGAAAGATGAGAATAAATTGTTGAAAAAACAGCGGCAAGAAATGGAAAAAGGAATGGAGAATTTAGAGAAAGAAAATAAACATCAGCGGCAAAAAATGGAAAAGAGAATGGAAAATTTAGAGAAAGAAATTGAACATCAGAAAGCCGTGTTGGTTATTGTGCAAATTGGCACAGCCTTACAGAGAAATTTGTGCAAGTACGTCCTGGGAGAACACTTCAAAGAAAACTGTTTCTACAAGTTTAAAGAAATTCGCAAATACATCCAGCAAGATCTGAAAAATGACAGGAAGGCCCAAGAGTCAGCAAAAAAGCGGCTGGCGGAAATAAAGGAAAAGATTCCTTGGGACCAAAGTTTGGTGAATAGTCTGAAAAACCTTAATCAAACGAGAATCGGCATTGCTCATCCTGACCTAAGCAGCGAAAAGATCCAACAAGCTACAGATTATTTGAAAGAGGAGAATATTTTGGACAAGGGAATGGTCCACAATGTTAACGAACTAAAAAAACTATGGAAAACATCCGAAGAATTGTTAAAGTAAGTTTGCATATTGTACATAAATCAATTCTTTCATAAATCAAAATATCTCTGGATGCGTTATGATTTGCAAAACCTATTTTCTGTGTCTAGTGTAGCAACAAAATCTATTGCATKKTCAGGGTTGTTGTTAATACTTTACTGCTTTACAATATCGTAAAGGTTTGGAAAGTGCTTTCTATTATAACCTAAGTGTTTCAGGCCCAAGAGAGAGAGGGGGGGAGAGGCGGAGAAAGGGAGAGAGGAGAGTCTGACTCCAATGTTATTCGAAACTTGTGTTGCGCGTCGCTCTTTATTATCGCTCTTTCTCTGTTGCTGGCCCGATACTTTGGAACTCTTTACCCTATAGCACAAGAAGAATTGACTCTTTAGATCTATTAAAGTCATCCCTGAATGAAAACAATTTTGTTTCGTACAGCATATCCATAATATTTCCATAATAAT